CTCCTGTTTACATAAGGAATTAAAAATAGTGGAATTGTTCCGAGAAAGCCTTTATCTCAGCAGCGCTGCCTCCCCGTCCTAAAATCTCTGCCCAATTGTCTCGCATCTTCAGGGATTTGGGAGGGCTTTTGTCTTTTAGACATTGATCTAAATGCTTGGTTGTGTATCTTAAGCGCCCCTGTAGCTCCAAAAGGCACGGTTGCATGCTGGTAAATTGAATAAAGCAGAAATGGCCAGTGAATGAATAAAGCGGAAAAATGAAATCGACATAGAGGAATGATGACGCTCGCTTAGAAACAAACAGAAGGGGAAATTATAGAATGGAGATTAAATAAATAAGTGAGCCTGGTGCCTCAAAACTTGTCTCGGCAACGTGGATGCAGATCGTAGGGACTATTCAAACGCTGCTGGAACACTCTGTAAATCATTGGCTGCGTGAGCATGTTAAATGTAATTGATGCTCAATTGTTTTAAAGTGTCAGTAATAAAATATATATTATCTATATTTAAATAACTGGTTTAAGTATCTGTCAAAGCTTCAGCATAGTTTTTTATGTGGTTAGTTTTTAAATCGAGCTGCAGTTTACATCAGCTGAGAATAAAATACAGGATAATGCAGCTGAGGCTTTTAAGGATTTAAACATCCTTATTTTTGGTAGCAGAGAAAGGATTTAAAAATTAATCTAAATATAATAAATATTTCTTGAATGTTGGTTGTGTGTACTTCATGGTACAAATAATATCATGCTGCAGTTTTGGAAAATTGCTTTTGAGAATCATCAACAAATAGTATGGAAATTTTTGTCAGTGTTGTTTCATTGCGTGTACTGTTAGTCTGCTCAGGGCTGTTCTGGGGCTGTCAATCCAGACTTGAATGAAATCTTACCTCAATCCTAAATCTTAACTTTCCTTCACAGTGAGGAATACTGAATTTGTTTGATCCCGTCCTGTTAAACAAAATGTTTCCCTGTTTATGTTTCAGGGTGGTAGAAAGTCATTGTGATTTTATGTGCCTTAGTAAAATTTCCTATTTGATTTGCCCCCTGGAAGCAATCCTAAATGCTTTTTTTTTTTTTTTTTTTTGTGGGGCCGAAACTTACCTTGATGTCACACACGTACGTGTCCACAGGAAGAATTTGGTAACAGGGATTTGTTAACTAAGAGTCAGTTGTTTTAGCTGTTGAGTGTTTTTAGTTCAAGGCTAAATCTCTGTAGTTGTCCAAGAAGGGTCAGCTGTGTGATGCCAGCTGCTTGGGGCTTTTTTGTAATGTCAGTCTTTAAAGCAAACTGCTATCTGGAAAATCAAAGACCAACGTGTATCCTAGTTGTTGTTGAGTAATTTTAGGCCTTAAATACCTTTGCTTTTTTTTTTTTTAACTGCAGTTATAAAAAAAAGTAGAATTAACATCATTGCAGACAAGTCAAACCTCTTTTTACTGTTCAGCATTTTACACAAACGTCTGATCACTCAGATGTTTAGCTTTTGAAGCACTTCTGGAGGTTAACAGGAAAGCTGAAAGCTTTTTTCTTTCTTTTCTTTTTGTTTTTCTCAGTATCACTTTTTAAATGTGTAGCCAGGCACCACAGGAAGTCAGAGGAAATGAGTCCTCCTGTCAGAGAAATTCAATAGTTGATCTCTGCTGGGATTGCCAAGAGAGATAGCAATCGCAGTGAGGATATTTATTCCTTGTGAGCTGGATAGAGAGTGCTGATTGACTTAACAGGGAAAAAAAAAAAAAGAAAAAAACATTGAGCAGACACTGAAGAACACTTGTTCCTGGGGGACTTTAGTAGCTGTTGAGCCCAAACCCTGAAGGTGAAAGGCTGCTACCTGTTAGCCATCTCCTGAGGAACTCGGTGTTTTGGTTTTTGGTGTTTGTTGGGTTTTTTTTTTTGTTCTTGCCTTTTGTACCGGCTGTGTGCAGGCCAGATGCCTTTGCAGCCCGTGGAGTGTTTTGCTGGTGCCTGAGAATCTGCCTCTGTCTGCATCCCCATGTATCGGAAGTGGTCAGGCCAAGGCAAGGAGCTGTGAGTCCTCTCCAGTGACAGAATAGTTCCCTTCCCAGCAGATCTGTGCTCTCCCAGGTGAACTGGCATCTGCTTGTGTCCGCTAATCTGCAAGGGCAACAGCAGCAACGCAGATCCCAGCTTCAGAAATTGCCCCATAAAATCTGCTTTGGTACCTGGCTTCCTAACGTGCTTGACCATCTCATTAGTTGCCTACTCTTGTCTGAGAATAACACGTCTACGTGAGCTTTTCTTGCCTTTTTTTTCTCTGCTGGAATTGAATATTGAAATTGGATTTTTGTTGTTTCTCAGCAAATGTTTTCTAATCTTTAAAAATCTGACTTGTACAGCATTTGGATGATCTGGGAGAAGACACTGTGTATGAAAATTAAATTATAACCAGCACTCTGACAAGTTGATTAAGTTGTTATAGGTAAAAGAGTGAAATAGATAAGAGTGAAATTCTGGTTGTCGTGGTTTAGCCCCAGCCAGCAGCTAAGCACCACGCCGCCGATTGCTCCCTCCCCCTGCCCCAA